AAATAAATAGCACCATGCCAACGTTTGTTTCTAAAGCCCGGACAGCAGGATTGTCCGTGGGGATGGGGGGAGATGTCTAAAAAGTCAAAATGACAGCCACAACCGTGTGATGGAAGCTCCACCCCTTTTTATGTGCGTCACAACATGTAGAAAAGGGCGGAGCTTCCATTGCAAGGTTGTGGCCATTTTGATATTTTTGACCCTTCCTGCCTGGGAGAGGTTCCGGTTGTGTTACTCCTCTTCAGAAAAATAAATCTGCATCTCTGTTCTAAACTATTTCCATTTTAGGATATTTAGAATACATTCTAGAATATTTTCTTGTGCCATTTTCCTGTCTCCCTCGTTTCTGCCCCTTACGTCTTTGCAGCCTGTTGGGTGAAATAGATCTCATGTTCACCTTTTCGGATGCTCAAAACGAAAGGGCTGGAAACCAATCTTTGATGAAGATAGAGGGGTCTCTTGATCCCTGTTCCAACAGGGCAGCTGGTCCCATCCCAATGTGCGGGACTCCGATTCCTGTCCAACCTCGGCTGGAATGATGGGTGTTGTAGTCCATAACTTCGGTTTCTCACTGCTAAATCCCATGGGGTTGGGGCTGGAAGAGGGGAAGGGGCTTTGGTGGGTGATTGGGAGAAGCTATGGCCTCAAAAAGAGCTCTGGGCCAGGTTGTGGAACACGCTGTCCTCACGCAGATCTTCCCTCCATGCCCTGTAGGTCTCCAGCCAAGCGATGGACATGAATGTGCTAATGGCCTCCCGGATTCTGATGGAGCAGGTGGCCTCGGAGGGGCACAGCCTCCTGCTGCATCTTCTCTACCAGGCCCTGCTCTTCGACTTCCGCATCTGGACCAACAGTGACTTCGCTGTCCGGCTGGGTAAGGGCAGAATGGTCTAGATTGAGAGGAGGGAGAAGATGTGGAGCAGTGTTTCTCACCCCTGGCCACTTTAAGACAGGTGGACTTCAACTCAACATGACTGGCTGGGGAATTCTGGGAGTTGAAGTCCACCTGTCTTAAAGCGGCCAAGGTTGAGAAACGCTGTTCTGGAGGGTGGGAAACCCCTTTCTCCACATTTGGAGCATCATTCCAGCAGCATAATCTTACCGAATTTGTGGTAGATTACATGCACCATGCAAGGAAAGAGAACATGCTTTCAAGGATTCTTTCCAAGGAGAAGACCGTGGGGTGAACTTCTCCTGAATGGACAATGATGTCCTTTCACTTACTGAGCAATACATGGGCTAATTCCTGTAGATGAGTGTCCTTTCTTTGGAGAGGCTGCCCCATTTCCACTATTTTTCAAGGGAGTTGTAGGGGGAAAACACTTTTCTAAGGGGGACCCCTGCCTTGAGAATTGGGTGGGCAATTTCTCATGCCTGGGGAGATTCAGAGAAGCCATCATCGCAGTTTCTCTGCTGACAAACTGGGTGGATAATTTCAAAAGACCCCAGTGCCCGGCTATGCCATGACGTGATTGAAGCTGAATTCATTGATGGGGAAGCCAATCCAAGCTCCTCAATCTTTGGAAAACCGTACATAGCACAAGGGATGGAAACAGCAGCCTGGTCAAACCTAAGATGCAGGTGTGGCCCAGCTTTGCCCAGTTTTTTTCCTTATCTTGTCCTTCTTGACAGGTCACATCCAGTATCTGTCGGACATAATTAAGGACCACAAGCAAAGGATACGGAAGAAATATGGGGTGCAGTACATCCTAGATTCTATCAGGACATATTATGGGTGAGTTAAGAGAACGTTGGAAAATCCTCCTTGTTTGGCCCCTAGTCAAGGTGTCCTGTCCTGTAATGGCCAGCCAGATGCCCTTGTTCCTTTTCATTCTTTCTCCATCATGGCTAGTGGCCATTGATTAACTAGGCAAGAACACACACACCCTAAAACAAGGAGGAGAATTGAATTGCTGTTGAATAGATACATGCTCTTCCTTCTGTAGTCCAGGATATTACAGAATAAATCCTTCAGAATGCCTGGTTTGTAAATTAACTTCAGCTCATCCCCAAAGGATGTCTTCAGAACGAAGAACATATATTCCAAGCCATCCAAGAATCTCTTCTGGGCCTTGAAAGGAAATGTTGGCATGGGAACAACGTCAACAAGTTCTCAGGGATTGTGTAACAATCCAAATCAGAAACTAACCCAACTGTCCGGGTTGTAGATGGCCTTGAAGGAAGTCACTTTGGGGCACCTCTGGGGAAGTGGATGAGCCATGTGCCAGATATGGGCTTGGATGTAAAAATGCCAGCGCAGAGGCAGGATGTGCAGGCTATCCAATAGTTGTGATGCACTGAGTGTTCTCAGAATGGAAGCCATGAAATGGGGGCTCTTCAAGAATGAGGAGGGAAGTTGGAATTTCCAAGAAGCCTTTGATGGACTGTTTCTCTGGGAGCCCATATCCTTTCCACATGTTTCCCCTCTGGACAGCACTGTCTTGTATTATGCTACCTCCAAAGCTTGCACAGAATACAACATAAGGATCTTCCTATGTTAAGAAAAATAGGGCTACTTAGGTGAAGAATTAGACCAATGAAGAGGGCCCATCTTTGTTAAATCCACCCACTTACTTATGATCATGTTGGGAGTCCATGCACCAGTGGCCTTTATGGAGCCAACTGGACCCACCAGCCTAGGCTGATGTGATGGAATGGACTTATGAAGGCCAGGCTCAGGGAGATAAGCGTGTTCTTAGCCC